CGACTGGTCGATGGCGTAGGCGACGAAGCACAGCGCGCCGCCGGCGATGAGCAGCAGCGCGAAGAAGTTCGTGAACTGCGTGAGAAACTTCAGCCACGCTGCGCAGAACAAGGGCGAGAAACTGTTGAGAGGCTCGAGTTGGCGCCAATCCCGGCGTCACTGTGGGCTTGTGCGTTTGAGGGTATGACGGTGGTTGTCGCGGCAGTGTTGGGTGGGGCAGCAGTTGACATATGAATGGCGTGCCTGATCAACTGGAACTAGGCACACAGACCTTCAGCATGTTGTTTTGCATGTTGTATTGAACAGTCCCCTAGTCCCTTCAGTTTCCGTTTTTGTAGTCGAATTACACGGATGATCCGAATACCACGCAAGTGCAGCGTTCTTTTGACCATTACAGGATGCAACATTCAGCGTCACTCTGTGCTTCGAACTGATGCTCTAGGTATGCTTAACGCAATTACCCAAGAAACGGTTGTGGTGTTTGTGTCTTTGGAGTATTGTGATCCAGTCCAACAAGCAATGGACTAAATCAGCTTGCATCCGGTGTGGAGCAGCTGTGATCAAGAGCTTGACACAGCTTGGCGGGCTCTGTACGAAATCTGCTCCTGAAGTACGAACCAGCAAAATTTTGGATAAGGGCCGGTCAAAAGACCCCGGGGGGTGTCACGCATCGTCAACAGACACGAATACTTGGGTATTTTTTTATGTGTGGGGGCACATGGTCATGTGCGCGCCGTTGGCCTTTCTTCACCTTGGTTGGAATGGACACACGAGCCTCTTTGAGAACCAGAGACTGTCCAACAGCATTTCCAAAACTCTCACTCATTTGTTGAGATGTCCAAAAGTTCTTGCGACCCAACTCGAGCAGTGGTCATACCATTGACTCAGTGGCATGCTGCATGGTTTTGTGCCTTGATTGGGCACCAGAATCACGTGCGATTGCACGCAGCACGACGGTGATTTTGGCGGGGAGCCGTGGTTTTGTTCTGCAAATTTCGTTCGCTACACAACGGCAGCTGTTCCTTCTCATCACCGGACTCCCCGTGGTGCAACACTTTCCCAACTGCTGCAATCGGGTGCATTCTCAATCAGCCATGGGACAATTGGTGAGTTTCGATATGACAATAGGACGTGCGTTTGGCAAGCCCAGCGTCTGTGCCAGGATAGCCCCAATTTGAGTAGTGGCAAATAAAAGGATTTCTTTCCCTTGGTCATGATAGCTACAGCGTTGAATCTGCACAGTACAGTTTTTTAACAAATATCCACTAGGATAAGAATCCATTTCCTCACTCGGGGTCTGAGGGGAGGCAGTCGATTCTCGCCATGCTGCTGCCTCTGCGTCAGCACTTGGCTGCTGCTGAGGCCCTTGTCTGGGGTGATGTTGAAGTGGCTGTAAATCTTCTCGACTGGCCACTCATGCTCAACGATGGGGATGTCCTTGCGGAGCTCCTCAGCTCTGCTGGACCCCGACTTCCCTGACTTCCCTGACTTGGACATCTCGGCGGGGTGCCTCTCAGGGCCAAGGTTCCAGATCCTGCAGAATGGGGGAAGATTCAGATTGGCTGCGCAGCATGTGGCAAAGAGCTGCAGGGTGGGTGTTCACCCTCCCTGGACAGGTTAGCAGTCTTCCCTCCAGAACTTGCCCCCTTCGTGCCGCTTTGAGATGCCTTTATCGGTGGTGGCGATGAAGTGGTGTACACTGCCTTGAACTGGTTGGTGAATGGGAGTAATGGGCAAACCCCGGCCTCTCCGGCCTTCCACTGAATTGGGACGGCGCATTGCACCCCCCACGCAACTGCCTCGACCGCGCACTGACCAGTGCATGAGGACGTTGTGGATTAAAACATCAGTCGGCAAGGGCGCCATGTACGGCAGAGCGACCAGGGGCCAAGAATCACAGCTGCCGCGGCAGCTGCTTGTGCGGCAGCCTGAGCAACGGAACTTGGTGACGGCCATCCAGGGCTCCTGGGCTTCGCAAAACCCCACTCGTTCCACGGCGGCGCGAAAGCTAAGGCAGCCATCGCAAGGTCCATCCCCTTGGTCTGCCCCTCCCCTCCCCTCCCCTGCCCCGTCCCTTCATGGACAACAGGGCCCCCGTGGATCTGCAGCAGGCGCTCGCCACAATAACACTGTGAACCGCGTGACGCCCGGCGACGCCCGGAGGCGGAATCGGCGAGCGAGGCGCCGCAATGGCCGCACCGTCTCTCGCGACGCCACCTCCCGCGCCCGCAGCGGACACGGTAGTCAGCCCGGCCCGACGCCCCGCGCCGGACGGGCCCCTGCGCAGACGCACCCTCGCGTCACAAAAGGCCGCCAAACAGCCGCCTGGCGCCCATTATCCAGAACTTAAGAGCAACGCCCCCGCTGACCTCAGGCCTCTCGGGCCCGGCAATCCGGCACTATGACCGTCGCGAGGCCGCCGGGGCGCTACACCGATCGGTACATGGAAAGATAAATCATGAGCAAGCGGGTGCAGCGCGAGGGCTGCGGCAAGGAGGGGCCAGGGACGACCCGGCGACGACTCGCGAGGACGGAACAACATGGTACCTGCTTGGGCGGGCGGGCGCAACAGGCACGTGAGGCAGGCGCGCTCGGGGGCCCCCGGGGTGGGATATCCGCCGTTGGGTGGGCGGCCTGGGCGGTGCGGGGTGGGGCGCCGGCCGGGTTGTGTGTAGGGGACGGGGGGCGGAAAGTCGACGGGGCAATCGCGGTGGACGTTGTGGCGTCGAAGGGTCGGTCTGATCGGTTTGTGGGGCGGATGCTTGCCTCGCAGCCCGGGAAAGGGGGGGGAATGGGAAAATTAACGCGTTGATTGTGATTGAGTGTCGAAGATGGGGATATGTGGCAGATGACGAGAGTCGTCATCGGCTTGCCTGTCCCCCTGGCTCATCATCATCATCGTCGTGTTCTGCTGGCCACCCACTGGGGCTTTTGTTTCAACATCGCAGACTCCAGACTCCATGACTCCAGAGCGGGCTCATAGGGGATTCTTTCCATGGGTGCCAATCGACATGGGATTGAGTGCTCAATGAAGCTAGTGACGACACTGCATTCTGAGCGAATTTGGTTAACATTCTTGATTTTATGGGGCTTTACATTTCTCTACTATGACTCTAGGACATCTGGACTTGTGGAACATTAGGACATGGGAGCTCTCAGAACTTTGGGATTCTGGGTTTTGGGGATATTGGGACATCAGATGCATTACTGCTGACGCTACATTCTGACATTAGACACTACATTCTGATGGCTTCATTGGTCCCAGCCAGCAGCCACCTCTGTCCATAAATCTCTCTCTATGTGGACATCTCTTTATTTTACTTCTGACCTACATCGCTGAAATGTGGCACAGGCTGTTACCATCATGTGTACGTTTCTGGCAGCGGAGTTGGGTTTAGTGAACGCCATGTAATTAAGGAATTCATCATCGTCATCATCATCACTGGTCACAGAACAAGGCAATGAGGTAACCGCCAGCTTCCTATTTTGCCTGAGCGAAGCAGAGTCTGTGATCAATTCGTTGAAATCCAATGTAAAACACAAACAAAATCTGTGAGTCTATTAACTCCTGATGTCTAGAAGCGATTGTCGATGATAATATGTCAATCGAAGCGTCCTCGCCAGTTGGCCCTCTGCCTCATAGCGAGCCGAAGGAAGATATAAACGCGACAATGAAGCTCGACAGTGCTGCAAATTCCGAAGCGAAGTTTTGCGCTTCAAACAGAAGCCACAGGCTATCGTGCTGGGCGTGGGAAGCACTTGTCATGCTTTAGATGCGCTATTTCCTGCCGTTCTCGGAAGAATGCGGCAAAGCGGTTTTGAGAAGAACTAGCGATGCTGTTTGACAATGGTATTCACGACGGGTTGCATTTCGATGTTGTTCAAGAGGCTAAATGCGGGAGGGAGACTGGATTGGGGTCATTTCGGCTCACGGGGGTCTCAATCCACCACCGTAGACGCACATTTAAAGGGAACTTGACGAAGCTGATCCTTGGACGGATGGGGAATTGGACCTCCCAAAGAGCGCCAAGAATCCGACAGTGAGTCCAACACCGCCATCATGACACTCGCCGCAATTGAGTGGAGGGCAGGCTATCACCCAGGCCAAGAAAGGGGGAATTCGTGCTGGACACAACAGCACATTGCGAATTGGTCTGCACAAGGATGTCTGACCCTCCAACATTGCACATTCCTCCCATGTGCCCAGAAAGTAAAACGCACTATACGTGTGAAGTGGTGAGTAACGTGGAAAAGATCGGACAAGTTGCATAGAAACCGATGCGACTGGCAGACGACCATGCCATGCAACTGGTACAGTGTGCAATCGACATATGGCCAGGTCGAAAATGACGATATAGCCCCGCCACTGAGCTTCGTACTTGACACATGCCTACTGCGATGGACAATGACTCCATTCGAAGGCGTGCGGGCGAGCCAAGCACACAACTAAGCCGCTGCGTTTCTATCAAGTGGCACAAGGCCCACACCACTTCTGTGAGGCCGAGAGCGGCACCTCGACTCTTCGATGTGCTGTTGTACTTTCTAATAGCAAGAAGCTGAGGTGAGGCCAGCGAAGGGGACGAGCGAATGCTGTCAGAATAAACATGCACAACAACAAAACATCATGGCACACACAACGCCACCAAATGACACATCCAGAGGAGAGTGTTGCAACTCGTCCAGCAGGCATCCTTCCAAGCACTGAAGGCCAGCATCGCTGCTGCACAGCAGAGCATGCCGCGACAGATGCTTCATGCACCAGGGCAGCAGGGTCCACAAGCGACCACGTGGTGCACCACCCATGGGAACTACGTAGGCAACACGATCTTTATGCCCACAGCCACGCATCAAGCTGCACCTCAATGTGCACCATACAGCCACGTTCGACCACAGCACCAGGCAGCGAAGGTGTGTCTTTGGACCTCCGAATACCCATTCTATACTAGCACGCCAAAACCCTATTCTATCCTGTTGGGTGAAGGCGTAAAACAGCTGCAAGGTTACAATCTCGTGCCTCGTTCAGCACCCAGACACGGCTGCATCTCCAGGTCCTCCAAGCTTACAGGTGCTTTGGGTGTTAAGCTTGGCAAGCACGTTTCCCTGCAGTTCGAAAAACATCCCCTGTCAAACGGATTCCTGAATGCTCCATTCGCCCCCTTTAGGTACTTGTACCTGCAGCAGCAATCACACGGTGAGGAAAGATGCCGCAACAAAGCCTCGACATTCGCAGCCATCTCTGCAGCCAATAGATGCACAAGTATCTTACAGTCACGCAACGCCACAAGCAAATACCTGAGCTTACTATTTGCGGGAGACATGCAATGTGCAGATGTCAACACATTCTCTTCCCAAGATTAGTAGTTGTCTGTGAGCGTAACGGCAGATGTGCATACAGAGTTCATCAGCATGTAAGCAGCGTATATCTAAACAACACTACACAATTTCTCTCTCCGCACAACATTGACTGAACAAAGCACAGTGTAGAATGGCATCAACAAGCTCTCCAGTTTGTTCAGTGCCAATACCCCCACACACCTGTACCAATTTGCCATTTCATTCGTTGTCAGATTCCTGAATATTTGTGAGGCTTGAGTCACTGCAAGTGCAGCCACACTGATTCCCACAAATACATCGACAGCAAGAAAACCGATCACCCATCCCATCCAGGGCGATTTTCCCATGGAGCCATGGCCGTGCGGCATTGACACCCCTTGACGCAATCGAACGAACGCAATGATTGCGCCAATTACCATGGCTGCCAGTTCCAGCCAAAGGAAAATGAGGAAGTAGTGCCTGTTCCCCTTTCCCACTGCATTGCCCACCCATGGGCAATAGTGATCAAACACCTGCCGGGAAGCAGTCAAAAAATACGTTAAGTTGGGAGCTCACACAGCCCCAACAACCAAGGAAACAGAAAAAGGGCAGGCTGATCGGTAGAACTGGTTTATTGTGCTGACTTGGAAATCAAGAAAGCGAACAGACAGAGTGTTATGCGAAAGGATCTCTGTGTGCCATGCTAGCAACGTCCACAACAGCTATTAGCATTTTTACTGCTAAGACTCAACTTCAAAGCATAACACTACATTCTGAGCTCCACTCAAGTAAAACAACTGGCTCCAAGCCCATGGCGTGCACCACTGCCCTACCTCTATGCATCTGTTCGTCATTGGACAATGCTTCGCTCGCAAGGGTCGAACGATCTTGCAAGTCACACACAGCTGTTGCCAATTGCCGCTCCACAGTACAGGGGAATCGAGGTTCCTGTGAAGAACAGCCTCAAAAATTGGCAACCCTTGAAACGCAAAACAAACACCTGATGCCACTCCCAGGAACAGTGGGCTGCAGCATGCCAATGGTGTCTGTATCAATGCCTTGCATGGGAACACAAGCAGAGGGGAATATATCTCAAGGCTACTAGATGCCCAATTTGCTAATATGACAGCTGTGTCCACTGCTGGTTCTTAGGCCACATGCTGTGACTGATCGCGGCCCTAGCAATCAGCATCGGCAGGAATGATGACAACCAACATTTGCTGTGGGGCAACACAGGGTGATGCAAACTCAGGGTCCCATTGCAGTTGAATGGTTCGTTGTAAGTGCAGCATCAGGGCGTTTACAACAGACTCCACTCCAAGAAATGGAACCTCCAAGGTCTTCGCTGACTGTGCAATTCGGTTGGAACTGATGCTCTGGTGCACTTGGAAACACAGCGTCATGAACTGAGATCATAAGAGCCACAGGATGGTGCCCCAGACCAAAATTAATCATAGCCAATATAAAATCAAGATCAACAATCCAGTCAATACAAGAGCAACAGTGATGCGCTGAAGGATTGCATTAGCAGAAAAGGCAAGGATATGCTATTCTAGTGGCATAGTGTGAGATGGCAGGTTTGCTGTTTCTGTGTTGGAGCATAATTCTGGACTGAGTGGGAATTGTGCTTGCTTTCTTTTTTTTCGATAGTGCCTCGATGTTTATCACAGCATGATCAACATATGTGCTGGGATACACGCCAGTTTCAACCTGTATCATGGCACAGGCAATATTGAAGGGTCCCAAGTGTTTGTAGTCCATGTTTTGGGCAATTGCAGCACGTATTTCCCCACTATTCAGAGTTCCTACCTTTATGTGAAACCCGTTCTGTACCGAGTTGTATTCGCAGCCAGATCTGCAACCAAAGTCTGTTTTGCTTCATATGCAGATCGCTCCTTTCCCTGCTTGCTGGCTCCAAACACTCAAACTATAGCTGGGTTGTAAACGCTGACTACAACAAGATGCTGACACCTACAAAAATGTTTTCTTGAGCCAGGGATGAGGGAAAACAGGCTTAAAACTGCACCGCACAAGGGCTGCCACAACATTTTTTTTAGGATGAAACAACACCTGCCTCTAGGTTTTGGTTGCCACACCAGTGCCACTGAGCCTGGAGGATGTACTTGCAGTGTAGGAATACGAAGACAGTTTGTCAGGCTCCATTCTGGGAAGAGTGCAGGATAGGTCCATGGCTGCTGCACATTTTGCAGTTCAACTGCACTGATTACAACACAACACTGTGGTAGTTCATGTGTAAGTGTATGTGCGGATTCTCCATGGAATGGACCTATTTCTTCCCCTTCAAGACACCAATTCCTTCCCTGCACCTAGACAGACGCAAAGCACTACCAAACTGGGCACCAACAACTTATTCATGATATCACAGGTGCCCTTTCCCCAGTGGACACTGCCTCGCTCCCCAACGTCCACAAACTTATTAGGCCACCGGCAGAACACACAGCAATGCAACTGGACTTCTGCTGACCGTCGCCTTGTTGATGCAATGAACATTTATATCTTTCGCTTCTTGACTGATGAACTCAAGCGACTTGACACTGCTGTCAGTTCATCACCTGTACAAGTTCTCAACGTCCTCCCCGCCACTCAGATCCTTCTGGTCCCTCGAGTCCCTCCCACATCCAACTGGTATGAACCCAGGATTGGCTGTGGTCGTCTTGTACAGGAAGAACAGGCCGATCGCTGACAGCACCACACCCAACCAAGCCCAAAAAGCCATGCCCACGGGAACAGTTTCAAGGGTGGGGGTCCAGACAACCTGGAACACCAGTGCAAGCATTGCAGCACTCAACACCAACATCACACCATGCCAACCCAAAGCAATGGTCCAACAGATGAATGGAGGCCACAAGGCCAGGCCATCAGCATGAAGCTAAACCCCAAAATCACAGATCAGAGCCATCTCTGAACCTCAGGTAATTGACAAACCACCATGCCCACTGTGCATCTGCAGCTGAGACTGTCAAGCCTCACCTTCTTTACAAATACCAACATCAAAGTAATAATCAATATCCAGATGACAGGGGCCAGCTGCAGATCCACAAACTTGTCCAGCGCACTGTTCTTCCAGCAAATACCCTTGCGACGTTGATTCTGGTGTTGTTCCTGGAGATACAACGCCAGGTAGCGGTGGCCCCTGTCAATAGCTAACTGGGCAGGTGTGGAGCCAAGGGCATCTTGCAGAGAGAGGACAGACTTGGAGCCGCCCTGCTGGCCACACGTGGGCAGGAGATCAGACACCATGGTCACTCAACTTGCAGCTCATATGGGCACATTGTCAACCTCTGTCAGCGTGACAACAACCATTGGCCACAGGCCTATATCACTGCGGGAAGCACTGGACGCCAACACTTCCGGTACCTGCAGCAGCACCGTCGCAGCCTCGCTCTTGCCTCGAATGGCCGCCCAGTGGAGAGGAGTGCAACCTGGTGAACAAGGATATAATTATCAGCAGGACCACAGACCACAGCAAAGCCAATAGAACTGGTGCCAACTGCACCTGTTCCATCTTTGCGTGCATCTTGGATACATCCAATGGTCACATGCTGTCAGGATCTGGGGAAAATGGAGGTCAACAACTTTTGTGCTGGCCTACAAGTTGCACAGCATTTCGGGCAGAGTCTCAACCAAACATTCTTCGGCTCTGGTACTTCCAAGCAAAACATGCTGAATGCATTACTGCAATAAGACTATCCCCAAGCAAGATGTGAGCTGCAAATGAGAGCTGTCGTGCACAGTTGCTGGATAACCAAGGGTGATCAGAAAACAAGTTGACACACAGCACAGACCACAACACTATCCTAATGCAGAATGCACCACACTCACCCATCGATGTCAGCAGTGAAAGCAACATTTCTTGATTGCAGTAATAGAGGCATTAGCAGAGTTCGTTGCAAGCTTCATCCACAGATGCTGCCCAGTGCACAATTGTTCCAGATGGGGTGCACGAGCTGCGACTACTGTGCCACCCAACTGGGTAGCATGTGTTGTGAACAATGGCACTGACAAAAAGGACCTGGACCTGGACTGTGGCACTTTCTTGCAAGATGTGGCACAAGATTTTGTGTTGTGCAACTGATCATTTCCAGGGGCAAGGATGCATGCCAAGTTGCAGATGTGCTATCCATTCTCAGGCTGTTGCCTGCTTCTGTATAGCCTTGAACAGTGCTCACCTTCTTTATCGACTGCAGATACACTAGCCCCAAGGACAAGCAGCAGCCTAATGGTGTCCGCAAATCCCTTGTAAGCAGCCCAGTGCATGGGTGTCCGGCCATCGTTGTCAGTGACACCCACATCCATATTCCATTTGAGTGCCAGATGATAAATAACGGATGTCTGACCATATTGTGCGGCAACATGCCAGACCTGTGGGACAAGTCATGAATGCCATACTTCAGAACTTACATGCAAAAACACAGCAGAGATTACCCACCAGGGACTGTGCATGAAAAAGCAATCACAAATCTGTATTTCTGCTCAGCTACAACAGGCAAAGGTAGCCATCTGGCACTGCCAGATAACAAGCATATATGGTTTTTCACTAAGCAGAACACATCGGCACCAAATGGGTTGCAACAGTTCAAGCCCTAGCCTCTACAGTTGGAACATATGGCAGCCAAATGCACAACTACAGAATATGACCATCGCCATACATGTATCCGGGGTATGATTTGTCAAATTTGGTGAGAGCAGTGTTGAGGCATGGCAAGAGAGTGCCAGCCGGGCCAGAGTTGGTTACATGTGCACCAGCAACATGGTGCAAGTAGTATCACATTTTGCTTCCCTCCAAGTCAGCAAGAGAGTGCCCCATTACGAGACAGCCCTCACAATAGTCAAAGGACAGCCACCTGCCTTACCATGAGGCACCCACCGTGTAACCCCTGTTGTCCTTCAGGTCTGGCCTTGCCCCGGCCCTCAGCAGAATCTCAGCAACCCCCAATGCACCCCTGACAGCTGACCAGTGGAGGGGCGTCTGTCCTGAAAGGTCAGCATTGTTGGGAACCGCACCCCGCTGGGAGCACACATCATCAACAATTCAGAGATGCCCCAACCAATAACTGACTCAAGACTCCAATAACAGGACAGTTCAGCAACAAAGGTCGTGGTGACTACAAACCTCATTAAGTCACAGCACATAAGCCACCAGGGTCCAGAAAAGGGAAACCCTTCTGGATGAGCGGTGACAGCTCAACGCCGCTGCTGCTGGGAGAACGTGGCGAATGTCCTCAGAGCGCCCAACAGCCCTCCAAAATGCCCGCACACATCCCAGACTCTCCCCCATGGTACTCGCGCTGCTCACCTCGAGCAAAAAGCTGGCAACGGACACCCGGTTGTTCAGCGCAGCCCACTGAAGTGGAGTGTATCCCTGGCCCAGAGGAAAAATCCGTCACGCCACACACACAGCAGGGGGCGCTGGAATGCAGCCGGGGCGCTCGTCCAAATTCATGAGCAGAGAGCAAATGGCTGGGCCAGGGTGGGGATGTCGCCAGAGCTGCCCTGCAGCTTCGCCAATGTCACATTGCTGGTCCAGGGGCGCCAACCACGGCCACAGGCGGGCAGGCAACGTTTTGACATCCATCCACCCGTTCAGATCTGCTTCGTACACGCCGGCAACGATCCCAAGGCGGTACCGTGCCGTAATCCACCCCGAACGCAGAACCAGAACTGGGAACAGGGGCGGAATTGCCGCGTGTTTGATGGGCAGATGGCAGCGCCAGCGGTCCTTGCCCTCGCTGCTGCCTGACGGGCAGCCCTCAAGGAAATGCCGGCGCACTGTGGTCCAACAGAGAATCCGTTCCAAAAACAGGTGCGGGCTGCAACGGCTAAGCCCTCCGCGCAGGGCCGTCCGCATGCCCTGTTTTCCCCCCGTTACGCGGGCGCGACAACCGACAGCATCCTGTGCACTGATTCTGACCCACACCGGCAGATAGCCCTCTCATGGTCCAGCTTCACCCCAGCCGTGCGCACGATAACACGACTGGCCAGCGCGGGAGACCATCCGCACCTGCTCATCCGGCCTGTTCACGCACTCCGGATCGCTGCTTACAAATTCCCGCAGCTTTTCGAAATCCCCATAGGCGCACGCCTTCCATGCGGAGTCTACCACTTCCGCCTCGGCAACTTCCGCTGTGGCTGACGCACCCTGGGGGGGTGCGTCGTCGCAGCAAGCGCCGTCCATGGGGTCTGGTCAGGCCCGGTCAGGTTTGCGGAAAGTTGCTGCTCGTGGAGCCAAGACGGTCACTGGCATTGCTCACGCCATTGATGTGCCCCGGTGCCTATCTGCGTCCCCCAACTGCCCCAATCCTTCGCTGAGATTACGTACCGAGGTACAGTAGGGGTCCCTATATAGCGGCGCCGCGCCCCCCCCCCGCCTTGGCTCCCCAATACCGCCCCCTTTTTTGGCTTGTCACCATTTCTGTAGTACTTTATGCAGTTTTGTTGCGTAGTGGTACCTCAAACTAGTACAAGGGGGGGCGCGGTTTAGCGACACCTGTTGAGCGGCCTGTCTAGGTTTAGTGACACCCCTGTACGGTTTGTCACCGTTCCCGTAGTACTTTATTTAACTGCGACAGGCCCCAGCGCCCGCGACTTCGACGCTGCGACTGAGTCGCTGGCACCAAGAGCCATTATGGGCCCGGTAGGCCGGGTGTAGCATACCCCGTACAAGGGCGACCAGGGTACCCGCTACATTGGGGGCTAGGGTACCCCCTATACTGGCGGCCAGTGTACCCCTTATACTGGCAGAATGGGTACCCTCTACACCGGAAACTAGTGTACCCACTACACCGGCGGCCATGGTACCCCCTACATTGGTAGCTCAGGGTACTCCCTACACTGACGGTCAGGGTACCCTTTACCCCAGCTGCTTAGGGTACCCCTCTTAACACAATAGCGCCCCCTTTTGGCCATGTCACGGAGGGGGCGCTATACAGGGACCCCTACAGTTACTTGTCTCAAGTATGTTGGGTTGTCCAGTGTGTAACAACCGCGAAAACGATTCAAACCAAAGAGTCGTGTTCGCGAGCATAAGCCATCATAGTGAAAATGACTCAATCTGCAAAGGTTGGCTGCAATCCTTTGTTCTATGTTGCCATCGGAAGACAAAGCATGGCAAAGTGCTCACATTTTTCTTATTCCCGCAACTTACCTGCCCAATCGGTTTCTTTATGTTGATTTCCCCTTGTACTGTGTTTGCCTCAATTGTTCTCTTCTAGTAGATGCCTCATTGCCCAGCGTCTCCCTTCTTCTCAATGCCCGATTAAATCTATTTATCCTTCTCAGTGCTGTGAGTTAAGACCACTGCGTGGCCTGCCCTGCAGTTCTCAATACTCCTTCCCTGTTTTCGACTGTGGCAGTTGCTGTCCTTGCGCCACCGCATCAGCACAAGTGACAACTAGGTGTAGCGCTCTCCGACATCAGAAGCTCACTATACAGGTATCGCCCAACATGGGGGGAGGCCGAGGCTGTTAGGTGCAATTTTGGGTATTTGCTTGGGATTTGGAGGGAAGCTGAGTGGCTTGAATGACAAAACCTCTAAACAGGTATCTACTTCAACGACCAGGAAAAGCGTGATGCAGATCTTGCAGTTGTAGCGAAAGGGTTTTTTTGTTTTCAGTGCGGCTCAATAGGAACCACACAATCTGATACTTTTGGATTCAACTGCTATAGTTGAGTCCAAAGCTATCCGATTGTGTGGTTCCTACCGTAGTACACGGTATGTTACGATGTTTGAATACAGTATTCACTCACCGCAACATACTGTGTAGTACGGTACTTTCCTGAGACTCAAAGCTGCTGACCTGAGCGTGCACATTTTATCTTGCGTCCATTCCTGATTTGTGATCGGGACTCGTGATTGATCAACAACAATGAGATCATTGGCGTGTCAACTTCAAACACCGCGAGGATTACAACTTTTAATCTGGGCCCCATCCCACAGTACCAGCAGGATGGCTTTGAGAGCCCCTTGATGATACTTAGACTGGCATCAACAACGCGTACCAATGAACTGGCTGCAAAGTCAAATTTGGAAGCCAGTAAGGAAGACTACTTGAACGGATATTCGCAATCCCAGATTCCCAACTGAAAGGTTATGACACTCTCGCAACCACCGCAGATTCATTCGGCACCCATTTCTTCCCAATCCCTCACCACACACAGTCACACATCTCTCCTGCTTTGGAAGACCAGGAAGACATTGCAGCTCTCTCCCAAACAACCGTATTGGATCATTCAAATGGAGCAGCAACGATGATTGCATCCAGCACTGAATTTTCTCACCCAGGGCATAAGATGAAAATTCAGTAACAGTTACATCTTCAGCATTTCGTTCACACAGCAAAAAATTGTTCAAAACACACTCCAGAATCGAATATCCAAGCATTCCACAACAGCCAAATGTTCACCGTCGCAGCTTTCGCACCAAATTGCCAATTCGGTCCCACAACAGAAACGAGCGAAAAACACACCAAGTCTCCCACCACTGCAAGAAAATGTAAAGAGTGGGCGGGATTGAGAGAACACAAAGTGCAAAGTACCCCCAAGCCCCCTTGAAGGCGTCCGCCGCGACTCGTTGCCGGAGCTTGGGGAGCTGTGGCCCTCGATCGGTCCGCGTCCTGCGCCAGTCGCCAAGGTCACCTGACGCTTCCTGTAGCACGCCGCGGCGCTCAGGCCAGGATGCAGTGCCGGCTGACTGGTCCGGCCCCACCTTCGCGCCGAATTCCACGGGTATTTTGCAGCACCGCGGAGTTCAACCACTCGGTGGCGTGGCAATCCCCAACGATCGTCAGTTCGGGTTGGCCAACGCATCACCACCCCATCTCCAAGACCGGCGCAACCACGCCTGCTGCTGCTGTGCGTAAGCCCCATTTGCTGGTGGCGTCATGTCAGCCTGGCACACTGTTGTCAGATAGCTAATCGGAGACGATCTTCACAAGTCATGTCTTCGTGATGTTACTGCGGTTTGGCAACGCGGGTGACGGCGCCAAAATGGCGGGCGAGCCCCGAGCGCCGGCAATTCTGCTCTGTAGTGTTCCTGCACTGCTTTGTGGCCTCCCGTCATTTTATTGGACGGCGACGTCCAATAAGGCTCTTGGCTGGGCTCCAGCCAAGAGCAACAAATACCTCGTCGACGTGATGCCCCTGACGTCCTCACCCCAAGAGCGGCTACCGCCCTGACCAACATGAGGTGCTTTAGTAATGCGCCATCTGTCTCAGATCCTTGGGCAAGTCACTGTGAGGGGGGCCCGGTACGCCCGCGTTGATGGGCGCATATTTTCCGACGGCCCCCTCCCACACGCTCCTCGCAAAACAGCGGCTGGGCAGCCGTTGAGGGGAAGAAAGCCGGGAGCCCGGGAGGGCACGCCCCGAAGAAACGCCGTCCTGCACAGGAAGACGGCTCTGCGGCGCCACCGGACTGCGCGGATCCCTGGCACTCTCTTTTCCGCCCCCTTTGCCTGCGAGGCCTCCTTTGAGGCCTGCATTTCAGCTTGGCCGTTGTGGTACGCAGACGCCTGGCGACCCGTACCGATCCCAGCAGCGGAGGGCAGGCGCTGCGCGGCCGGCTGTCTGCGAGGTAGCCAGGTGGCTTGGACGTCCCGCGCCCTAGCGCTGGTATCCGGCGGCCGGATTGAGCGGCGTGAGGGGCGTGGCTGATCCATGGCGAGCCGGCAGCAGCACAGGTCGAAGATGGACCGCGTGCGCCTGCAATCCGTGGAGATCAACTCGGAGGACCTGGACGAGGTGGAGTCGCTCTACGACGCGGCGGAGCCCTGCTACGCGGTGGTGTATCGGTCCCGCCAGGGCGAGGGCACGCCCAGCACGTCCGGCGGGGGCGGGGTGCGCGTCGTCAGCTGCATCAAGGCGGAGGTGGAGGAGCGCTACTCGCGCAAGATATTCGGCCGCATGGAGGACTTCGTGCGCGCGGTGACCTATCTCGTGGACGAGTCCGAGCGCGAGTGCAGCCACGCTCTGGACCTGCCGGCCTGCTGCGTCTTCGACGCGGCCCCCAGCGCGGCCTCGGCGCGCGCCGTGATCCAGGAGAACCGCACGCTCATCCGCCACTTCGCGCCCGTGCTGGACGTGGACCCAGCCATGAACCTGCTCTACGAGCGCCAGCTCTTCAAAATTAGGAGCGGCCCCAAGGGCGGGCGGGGGCGCCACGTGGGCTCCCGGTCGCCAGGGCCGCGGAGCCGGGCGCCGTACCGGGAGGCCGGCCGGGGCGCGCCCTCCTCGCTGGACGACTACGGGACGTCCGACGGCGACTACAGCGTGAGCCACGGCAGGCACGGCCGGGACGCCGATCCCGAGACGCCCCCGGGGGTGTACGAAGAGGGCGGAGGGTGGAAGGGAAGCCCGGTGTCGCCCGCGTACGACGCGCCCGGGGGCAGGGGGAGGCTGGATGCGGAGCCCAGGCCGCCCGGCACGCTGCAGAGGACGCGGTCGCTGGGGGAGCGGTCCAAGGAGCTGGAGGGCGGCGGTGGTGGGGGGGCGGGCGGCTCGTTCCTGTACTCCACGATGCCGGTGGACCCGTTCCCGTGGCAGGTGGGGTGCGCGGATGTGTGACGGCGACGGTGGGGTGCGAGAGTCGTCGCCGGGAACGGGATCGATGAATCGATCGCCGATGGTCGGGGGGGGCCTCGACGCGGGGGCGCAATGTCCTGGGGGATGCCTGAAGTTGACGAGATGCAGCTGCGCTCGGTGTCGTTTCGCCCCGACCGCGGAGAGTCGCTGTGGCTGGAAACTGCGTCGAAGCGCATCGGCGGGTGTTAGTTCTGTCTGGTGTCCAAGAGATGCAGGGTCGACGTGACCGGGCGTCTATCCAGGCACTCGTCCCCGAGGCTGAAATCCGCCTTTCACAGCCCCGCGGACAAAAGCGAAATGTGCACCCCGAACTGAAAATGCAAGTTGGGCCTGCAGGCGTGTGTGACCACCTGACGTCGCCCAAATTGTTATTAATGGGCTGTGATTGGTGACATCCTTTGACAACCATGGACAACAATCGGTGACGCTTTGACCAACGTCATCTATGTTTTGTCATTTCTGGACAAAGTGGTCAACGAGTAGTCATCGTCGGTTTGACCAATGCTTGCAAAGGCTGTTGACCATGCAATTACGTCGATAGGAGACCGCCACCAGCCCCAATGCCTGGGATGCATTGTCGTGTTTTCCAAAACGGATTACCCCTCCGGTTCCTCGTGTGGTCCTGGAAAGCTGCTGAGACATACAGCAGGTCACGTCTGGTTGAAGTTTGGATGGAGATCGCATCTGCGCAAGGATTTAGGTTGCGTCGTTGGGTGACAGGCTGGCTCGCAAACCAGCATATTTCAATTCTGTTTTTTGCAACGATGCTCTGGGTTTTGCATACTCTGCAGGCTGGAGCACTAGCCCAAAGACATCTGTCAGGCTCTGTCGCAACTCATGGAGGCCTGCTGCTTCTGACTGTGGGCTTAATTCGGGCTGCCCGATTCGGCTGTGGATGCTGTGACTGGGCTTCCCTCATCTGCTTCACCTCGTGTCTTTCCCTTGCAGGGCGTCGCAGACCAGGATGACAGGAGCCATGGGCGGTCCCCAAAGTACGGTGCCCCACGGGACAAGTTTGACCATCAACAATACATGCAGGAACCTCCATTGGAAGAAGGGGAAAGCCACCACCTTGAGCCACCGGGACGTGCTGGCCCACGGAGAAGGATGCAGGAACCTGGGGACTTTGACGATCTTGGGTACGACAGACAGCTGAGGGAGGGAGGAGAGCATGACCAGCCTTCCAGGCGCAGTCGGCAGGAAGCCCACAGGCATGATGACGATTGGCGGTATGGAGACGACCAGAGACAGTACCAGGATGATGGCAGGCGGTATCAGGACGAAGGCAGGCGGTATCAGGACGAAGGCAGGTGGTATGAGGACGAAGAGAGGCGGTACCAGGATGAAGGGCAGCGCTACCAAGACGAAGGGAGACGCTACCAGGATGAAGGGAGGCGTCACCCTGATGAGTATGGCGATGAAGCCAGGCCGTACCAGCACCACGATGAGTACCACGATGAGCATACACCTGTGCACGGCCACCAGCAGCCTGAGCGTCAGGAAATTTGGAAGGACAGCTCTGCTGATGAGCGGTGCAGGCGCCGCGAGGTGCCGCCGAAGGGATATCCAAGTTACCAAGAAGGAGATGCCTACCTAGAAGATGGCCAGCAGTATGGAGAGGAGATGTCAGCGCCAGGCCAATATGGGTACAGCAAGAACGGTGAGCGCCCTCTAGAAGTGCCAGTCAGAGCACACAGTGTACTTGATTGTTTGTGCAGTGTGCACTTTAGCTGCAGTGTTGGAGTGACTGGGTGGGTCCCACTTACTCGCATGTTATGGATAGTCACCCCCAGTTTGCTCCTCACGCATAGGCATCGCAGGTACCAGAAATGCAAGCAGGTGCTATTGCCAAGCTCCCAGGCCGCGCACGACCCTGGGCAAATGTGCGCCCAGTGGCTGCTGCATTGCAGTGTGCGGCAGGGGTGCTAGCACATTCAACAGGCAACGTCAACAGCACAGCATGGGTTAGCCACTGTTTTCCTTAGCCTGCTGCCCTTGTCTGCGGATGTCCTTGCTGTTGAGTGCATGTGCCCCACCACGAGACACTGCGTTTGGCAGGCTTTCGGTGGGGGCTGCATGCATGGTAGCTATAACAAGCGCAGCAACATCTTTGGGCTTTCTTTGCTGGGAAATGTACGAGTCCCTGTGTGGCCAAATATCCTTTGCCCCTTGCAGCAGGACACAAGCCCTCTGGCCACCGGATTCCTGAAGGTGTCCCGCCTCTGAAGTCCATACAGAGTCTCCATGCTGGACGAGCCCAGGACTGGCAGGACGGCCAGGCACCTCTGCATAGTCCCCAGGGACAGGGCGTGGACTGGGAAGCTGACACAGCCCCCGCTCAGCCGGCCCCCGAAGCCGAAAAGCCCAACCAGAGCAAGTTCACCATGGAGGTCGATCCTCGCGAGACGGTTGGCAGCCTGAAGCAGAAGATCTACAAGGCCAGGGGGTACCACCCCAACGTTCAGCGGCTGGTGTTCGATGGCACGATCCTTTCGGACAAGATGAGGCTGGCAGACTGCAACGTGACAGAGGACTCTACCCTGGTGCTGTGGCTGCTGCTGGGCAAAGGGCGTGCAGTGCGGGTGATGTGATTTGCTCGTGCTGATTGACGTCCGGCCTTGTGGAACGTGGCCGTGGGAAATGCCGTTTGACGAGGCAAGTTCACGAACTACGTGGAGTCCGTCAATTTGGCGACGGGGCGTAGAATGCCTCGTAGCGCCACCAGAATTTGGCAGTTTCAGAGCCACGCATGCTCCTGCCAGTTGTTGGTGACGATGTCAGAGCTGGTATGTGTCGCCGTTTTTGCATTTGTGACTGGTATGTTAGCGCCCCCATAACACCACAATGCAAATCAGCTTGTGTGTAAAGTATTTGCTGGAAACCGGATGGCAAGGATTGTGATGGGATCAAGCGTTCATTCTTCCGAGGCGCACTTGGCGCCTGCGTCTCAGGGTAAGCGGATGCTCTGGTTTTCTTCTTCCCTGGTGAATAATGCGATGTGGACGTGCATACGTTCTCGCAGCTCGGCTGTGAGTGGTCTTGCTTTCGGAGCTGTAGAGGACTTGGCGAATGTTGGCGAGAGTCATGGTCAGCTGGGGGAGGCGCAGGACAGTGTGAACGGTCGGCAGTTTGGGGAAATAAAGAATGACCTGAAGATGTTGTAATTGGTGGTCTGCGTGTGGAGTCAGGCTTGGACGGTTGTGTATCTGCACCACGTCGTGTAGAAACCTTGCTGGGTGGCCAGTTTTGAAAGGTATGATTGCACGTGTGGAGACATGTACACAGTGTGACAGCAAGGGGTCGAAGTGGAGCCCATTCAGAACGGCAGGGTTGCCTGTGTATCGGAGGCGACTTTTGGATCGGCCTGAATGGAATGACTTTTGCTGAAAACGCTGCGCTGACAGCCATTGCACTGGGGGTACGCAGGCCAGTACAATGAGATTGCTGCACGGTGGCTCTGGTTGCCGCAAATGTGTGCAGCCCCATCGGACATGCACTGCATGTGGCGCATTGAAGACGTCAGGTGAACAGGATAGCCGTCCGCAGATGTATGCAGCCCTATCGGACATGCACCGCGTGTGGCGCATTGGAGACGCCAGGTGAACTAGATAGGCGTGAAGTGTTCAACAAGCGATTGTAACGAACAGGGATGTGTGTGCAATTGTGGGTCTGCGGCGATGAGGCACCAAAGGCACTGAAATCGAATTGGTGGAACACCCACGAAGCACCGAAGTGCCTGCTTCCATGCATTTTCACCGGTTGTGCGCTTTCCTAATCTGCCTCTGGAGCTTCTTCCATCTGCTGTCAAAGTGTGGAAAGCAGCTCGCGCATTTATCAATCGTATGACGTTTTGGGAAGAATCGGAGTGTTTGGGTGGAAAATAGCGTGCGAAGCAAGGCTGCTAATACGTCCGTGGGGCAAATGGCATCTTCTGCGCCTCGAGGCACCAAACATATCTAAGACACTGCAGCAAAAACATCAGGTGCATTCCGGCGGATTTCACGCCCAGGTGGGACATGCCCATATGAGACCAACAGCGCAAGCCAATGTACAAGTCAAAAGTCAATGCCCAGCACCAAGTCCCCATTTCAATCCTTGGATGCCAAAATTGCACTTCCGCGTGTCAACTTCCCCCTGATATCCCCAAGCCAACACAACAGCAGAGGCTAGGAGGAAGGGGGCGTCCGGCTTTCGGCCTGACTTTCACCTCCGTGATCCGCCTCGATGTACTCGCACACGGGCAGGTAGTACGCGTCGCTGCACCAGTACCTGTGCTTCACGCCCTTCCACACCGACTCATCTGGCGCATCCACGGGCAGCGAAATGAACGTGGTCTCAATTCCCATCGCCGCCATTTCCATGTCCACAATTTGTCGATAGACAGCTTGGAAGAAGGGGTTGGTCGGGACCAGGCCGTTGAAGAAGGAATACACTCCCCCCGGTTTCAAAATTTTCGGCAGCAGCGAGTGAAATTCTCGCATGTCCGCATCATAGTACTCGCCGTAGGTGTCAAAGAAAATGCCGTCAAACGGGCCCAGACCCGGCAGGACCTCCTGCCACCTTGCAAAAACAATTTTGACGCCCTCCTTCTTGTCCCACCCCGTGTCGAGCATCTTCTTGTGCACGTCTGGATGAGCCTCGATAATAGTATGAGACCTCGGCTTCCTCCTTTGAATGGCCGCATCAATGAGGCCCAATCCAAAACCCACATTCAAAATGTCCCCACCCGAACAGCAGATAGCCTCAGCATGGGCCTCCATCAGTGGCTGTTCCCATTCCATCATGACTGCTTCGCCATCTTCATCCAGTATTCTGTCATTCGATGAAGAGTACCGGACGCTCCTTGCGAGGAAGTCCTGGTTGCTCACCTGACCGTTGGGCCGAACGTGCTGCTCCGCAGCAGCAAGGATCAGCTCTGCACGGCAGCCTGCCCAACAAACAAATCATGTCAGCATGCAGAAGCACTTCACGATCGCGCCAGTCGCAAGCTGTGTAGGGCATGTGACAAACACAAACGACAATGCACGGCCCTTGCAGTGAAGAACTCGGGCAGAGACACATTGGAACAAATGCTTTTGGATGTGATCAGCATATGAAAGTGAATGTGCAAGGCCCCGCATATGTGCACATCCACTGTTTGGCCATCTTTAGGTCCATGCAGTCAACGCGCTGGTACACCATGCCTAAGCGATCCAGGCTATCTGTACCATATGCCTGCTACAGGACTCTTCATTCACGTCAGATGGCAAGAAGAGGGCCCCTTCCCTGCCAGCACATTCAAGGTGCTTGTAACTCCATGAATGATGGCAATGATACGCCAGTGTGTGTCCCTCACATCACTGCAACATGCTCCCCCGGCTGGCGGAAAAAGGCCGCCCAAGAGGTCGCCACAAAATAGGTTGCAAACAAGTGCATGATGTGTGGAAAGAACTAGCTTATGCCGATTCCCCCTTTCATTGTCCCCCTTCTCTTTCAATTCAATTATTCATCAATGACTGCAGTGTGAGCAACTCTGTATTTGCGTCATCACAAATACATTCTGCCAACAAGCCCATTACAAACAAACTCCTGCACGTTGCAACCAGTTACAGGTGCAGAAATATCCAATCAGTGCTGTCCACTGTTGCAAGGTCACCCTTTTGTCCGTACAGGTAAAAACATATAATGGAAGTCAAGGAAAAGGAGCGAGGCAGCACTGTGGCGCACCTGCCACCACCAGCTGGTTGACCACGTCCTGGTGTCCAGCCGCCTCAGCATGTTCACCAGCGCAAAGGCCATTCTTGTCCAGAGCATTCCAAGGGGCACCAGCCTCCAGCAGACGACCCACCACACTGCTGTGGCCCGCCTTGGCAGCCACCTAGTTCAGGACAGGGGCGAAGATGTAAAACAAGACAATGGATGGAAACAATGGGGCACCATACATGCCCAGGATATGGATCTCTTCCTGCAACACGAAGCTTTCCGTTTTCCTACAGTGGCAGTTTCGCTCTGTGATTTACAGGGGCTCTGTCCAGAAGACCTTCAGGACAAGCGCACTTGCCTCTGAAGCAAAGTGGGGCATTAAAATTATCTGCACGTTGGTGTCACACGCCAACGTATGCGTTCCTACAGCATGGCATAAAGACCAAACCTGGTGCAAATTGTTTGGAAAGCCACAGCTTGGGACAAATGGGACAAAGGTATTGTATGTGGCATTGGCATGCATGCCACCTCCACTTGCAAACTTGGCAGTGGCGCTGGCTCATCAATCGTTGACTGCGTTCAAGTTCACGAAAGGCAGGGCAACTGGCCACTGCAATCGCGGCCGTATATTTCGTATCCAGATTCATAAATGCTTGCTATCCGTTCCATTAAACCTTCAGATCCTGCACACGGAGTCTGTTTAGGTAACCCGGAGTCTCGTCCAATGGAGATACCACATCGAGTTGTGCTTGTGTCCCCATCCGCAAACGCACATACACTGTCTGTCTGCTTCCACGCCCGCAGGCCACCTGCAGCCTTTTGTCTTCAAAGAACATGCGCTGGCAACCACCTGACGGCTCCCCAGGGCGCAACAGGCAGCGTTTCTATTCAGCGCTTGGTGACGCTGGGAGCCCTGGCAATCGTGCCGCGAGCTCCTTTCGACATGCGCAGCCCTAAAAGCAGAGTCTCCAGCCCTGCGGCCCTGCCGTTTTACGTGCGTTCGCGCATTGGCCGAAAATGCCACATGGCAGGCAAGGCGGCTGCGGAAGCCAGCATTCACCATGAGCGGCGTCACGCCGTCGTCGTCCGTGCTGCATGCGTCCGCCCCTTCGGACAGGAGCCTCTCGACGGCAGACAGGTCCCCGGCCGCGCAGGCCGTCGCCAGCGCCGTGTCCATCGAGTCGCCAAGCGACATGGGGAATTCTGGGAAATCGGATATCTGGCACTCACACGTGGACTATCAAGTACGCACAGCAGTGCCCCCTACCCCCACTTCTTCTAACTTTGGACTCAAAACAGATCCAGCCACGCTTCCCTCCCGGCAGGGCCTTGGGTGCCAGAGGGGCGCCGTTGCGATGAGCGACTACCACACCGTGTACCAAACGCCGGACGGCGAGTCCACGGAATGGGACGACATCCAGCGCAAGCTGGGCAACCTGCCCGCCAAGCCCAAGAAGCAGAAGCCACCGCCGTTCAGCCCGGCCGAAGAGGAGGCCAAGGGGGCGGAGGGGGTGGACCTGAAAGACGAGGCGGAGCTTTCCGACCTGGAGGACGACGAAGAGTTCATGGACGACAGGTTCATGGCGGAGTACAGGTTGGTCGCTCGACGTGTACCGCGCTGTTGCGATGGGCTTTTCTGTCTTCAAAGCATTTGTGGCCTGGCGTGAGTTGGGCGGAGTGTTTTGCGAGAGAATCAGTGGCGCCTGGTCCTGGTCTCCATGAACGCATCTGCGCCAATGCCCCAATGGCAGTCTTTCGGCAGTGGGACGCCAGCGGCCGCCACGGCATTAGCGTTGGCCGATTGCCGGGGTGGTTGCCCACCTGACATTCAGTGTTGATTGCGGGTGCACAGGAAGAAGAGGATGGAAGAGCTGCGCAGGCTATCGGCGAGGCCGAGATTCGGGTCGGTCAAGGAAATTCGGTCAGGCGAATTTGTGGCCGAGGTCACCAACGCGGGGAGCGACATTTGGGCTGTGGTCCTGCTGTTCAAGCACGGCCATGAGGCGTGTGATGCCCTGAGCTCGTGCTTGACGAGACTGGCGGCTCAGTACACGGAAACCAAGTTCATGAAGATCGTTTCTACGGACTGCATTCACGACTACCCCGACCACAACTTGCCGACTGTTTTGATTTACAACAATGGGGCCTGCAAGCACACCCTTGTGGGCATGTCCCAGTTAGGGGGGCAGAGGGCCAGCCCAGAGAGCGTGGCACAGATTCTTAGCCGTTACGGAGCCTTGTCCACCGGAGGAGGGCCGAATCGACAAGGCTCAGCAAGCAGACATGCTGACGATGACTCTCAGGATGAGGATGATGGGTACTCAGATTGAGGCAAGCGAGCAAAACTGTGTCTGCCAAAGTTGCCTGTGGCCACCACATGGCTGGATGACAAGGCTATGTTGTTCTCACTTTTGAGTTAGCATGACATCCTTACATCCCCAAGATATCCAGGGTGGTTGGGAATGCCTGGGTCAGTGTGGCCCAATGACAATTGCATTGATGGCATAGCATTCAATGGGTTGCTGTCAATTGATTGCTGTGTGCACTTGCATGGGCGCACATTTCTTCGGCACCAGGTCAGTGGGCAGCTTTTGCTGAATGGATGCAGCTTGCTTATGGCTTGCAGCTGTGTTTGGTTTGTGCTGCAGAGTGACTAGCAGAGGCATAGGAAATTGTTGCTGAGGTTGAGGCATTGCACATAAATATAGATTAGGAATAGCACAATGTAGTCCACCAGTAGGTAGGACATGGTAGAAAACAGGGCATCTTGGTTTCATCGTTGCAGCAAATGGCTGTATTTGTATGCTCCTGCCCTCTGCTAGCCATCGACATTTGCCGCAATGGAGCTCTATCTCCACAACTGCAGCTGAGGTGTGGATCAGCAACCAAGTTCCCATTCTGTTCCGATTGGGCAGCAACGCTCTTGTCTGACCATCTAACCCTCTTGCAAACCCATGGCAAGATAAATGCCACGTGGGTAGCATCATTGGTGGCGTTGCATGGTGATGAACGTGCCAGCTGGCCGGAAGAGCACGGTGACAGAGTTTGTGGATACATAGAAGCCAGTGATGCTGAGTTGACAGTTTAACGGGAGCAAATTTCTACCTGGTGGTGACTTTTGGCAGGGCATGCTACCACCTGCTTTTCCACAAGGGGTTTTCGCTGGGGATCCACCAGGTCAATGGAAGTTCGCACAAAGCAGGGACAATCTGCAGTTTGTGGGGCTACCATTGTGTGCAGTTTTCTTATAGCAGACCGTGCTCTGTGGCAAACGCCACCAGCACAAGTTGCGAGCGAATAACACTCCAGCAGGTCAAAAAATTACCTGGTTCCTGCAGGCCATCCCTTCCAGCCATCGTCACACTCTGCTTGCCCGCCAATAAGGGAGCAACGGTGCTTGTTCTAAACTTGTGCTGGATCGAATTCCCAAGCCACTGCCTGGCAGACATCCACTACAAAGGTCCATGTGGCAAGTCACACCACCTGCAACACATGACAAGAGAGTGTCCACAATGGCTCCCACAAAAGCCAGCCCAGTGCTGACTGACGAGAAATCGCCAGATCATCGGATTGTTTGAAGGCCATGGCAGGCTGTCAAAATTTCCAAACCAACCCAGCCGCCTGTCACATGCCCGCTGGGTTCCTTGAGGGCCCAGCGCGTTCCTTCCCCCACAACGCTGTGCAGGAAGGAAACAGATTCACACAAAGCCTCCAATAGGAAGCTGCAAAGTCCAGCTCTACATGTCTACGGCCAGGCTATGACGGTCCACGATACTTGAACAATGGATAAGCGAAGGTGATCTTCGCCAAATCGTTTCCTTCAAAGGTATTTCCAGAGCGCTGGCTGGTGTGCACCCTGGGCACAACTACATTGCCAAGTCAGTCAGAGCATCGACAGCTTGTTCATTACCAAGGCAGGGTAGAGGTTTTCAAGATTGACTGGAGCTCCCTTTGATCACAAACGTTTACAGACCTTGTCCATCCATCACATCCCACTGGGCATATAGGGTCAACCACAGTGTGGAACACGCTGCGCTCTGTAGCATTGCGTTGATCGCATGGCAAGGGCCAAGATTCAGGGAACCTCACGAGTGGTGAGACCTCAAGTGGGTATTAGTCACCAAACAACGCAAGCTGGGAACAACCGCTCGAGCTCCTGCCATCCCAGCAACGCACGATCATGTGCTTACAAAGGGTCTTGTGGACATTCTCACCAGAGTGCACATCACACCTCACCTGAGGCTCTGCGAGGCCCTGATTGCATTTCTTTGATTGCAACAAACGCAGGGCTTAAACATAGCGAACACAGCCATAACTCCACGCAATTTTGCTCATCTGCCACATGTGTTGCCATTGGTGTACGTGTTCGCATTCAACATCATCACCTTGGGATGTGGGGTAACAGTGTATTCGACGCCACCGAACATGCTATGTGGACATGAACGCGAATGGCTTGGTGCGCCAGTCCCGGCTCGACATTACTTCCACGGGCTCGAGCTGGTTTAACAGTGCCTCTTCCCGGCCTTCAGCGCTCTTCAGGGCATTATCCCTGGATGCTGTGGCTGGGCCATCTACCCAGCATCGATCACCGAGCCTCTTGCCACGCAACATGACGGCCTCCCTCTGCCGGAAAGGCGCATGAATACAGCCCCACGAGCAACACAAATCCCATGCAAATTTCGATTAAATCTCGATTCAAATGTGCCCATGACAAAGCTGCCATGTCGTGCTGCAGCTTCCGTACCCGCCTGCGGCCTACGCACCTCCCGCTACCGCGCCCTCTGGCTCGCCAGCAGTCGCGACGATTCCGGAATGCGCCCCCGCGGGGGTCCCGATGGTCCTGCTGGCCTCGGCCCGTGCGAGGGGCGACCCGCCTCGCTGAACCGCGGCGGCGCCGGTGCCCCGACAAACCATCCCGCCGCCCGCCGCAGGCCCTCCCATCCGATCCTCCGATTCAACAGCAGCGGCCTGACTAGCAGGCCCGCCAGAATGCCGCTGAGGTGGCCGACGAACGACACGTTAGGTGCTACGAACTGAATGATGAGCAGCTCCGCCCACGCCAGGTGGCGCGTGGGCACGCGAAAGCCCAGGTAGGGCGCGGACGACCATTCAGAGGCCGAGGGGTTGATCCGGCGGTCGCCGGCCAGCACCTTGAGGGCGAACAGCAGGCCGGAGATGCCCACGGCGCAGGCGGAGGGGTCGAAGTGCCGCGCCAGTGGCGCACCCGCCAAGGCGGCCCAGGCGATCTGGACCATGTACACGTGGATGATGCTGGTGGCCAGCATGAGCGCGCAGCACAGGGCCAGGAAGTGTCCCGGCCCGAATACCGGCTCCAGCATGCGGCCCTTCCACAGGAGGGACACCATGTTGTAGTACAGGTGAAGGTCGTCGACGTGCAGGAGGGCGGAGGCCAGTAGGCGGTGGAGCTGGCCACGCCGCAGGACAGCGTCCGCGGAGAGGCAGTTGGCGGGGATGGAGAGCGTGGGGTGGGGGCCCTGCAGGTGGAGGGCCACGCACAGGGCCACCAGGCCCACGGTGACCACTGGCCGGTCGCCGCGCATGACCTCGCGGAGGAGAGTGAGCAGGAGGAAGACGGGCGGCCGGCGGCCCCGGCGGCCGCGGGGCATCATTGCGGGGAGCGTCGCGGGGGCCGCGGTGGTGTCCCAGCCTGTTGGGGGCGACCTGGTCCCGTTGTGGGTCGAGCGCCGAAGGCCTCGGGTCGGCGACAATTTCATGCAGGATTGGCGCAGTTAACGTGATTGACCATTAGTCAGACAGTCGATGAAATTTCTGGTAGCAGGGCCGTGGGCCACGTTGTGACGTTGGTGGGTTCGCAGAACTTTGGCGACAAAAGGAGTGCGCGGCGCCGGGCCAGAGTCGCGGACTTCCGAGCGGGCGCTGAATGTGCTCCGCTCGAGACTCCCACCCTGCCAGTGGTCAGTCAGGCGCGAGCGCTGCGCCTACAACACAGCCGCCAGGGTGAGCTGGCACACCGCCCCGCGCCGTGCTGGCCCACCGAGCAGGGCGCGCCCCTTTCCGCCGTCGCTCCGAGCCGGACATGCGGCAAAATCGGTCCCCGCCCCAGATCCTGTATCCAAATGGCCCGTTCGGTCACCATCATGCACTGCAATCACCCTTGAGGGGCAGCTGGTCGGACGCCAAAGTCTTCCGCCCGCAGCCCGGTGACGAAACGGCAGGGCGGGCCCCGTCTCGCGCGCGAACGCGGTCCGATGCGCTAGCGCCGGCGACTGCGGCGCCCCGCGGCCTCGAACGCAAGCGCTGGCGCGGCGAAGGGGGGAAATGGACCGCGTGCCCACCTTTGCGGAGCGGCCCAACTTCCCGCAGGGCCTGAAGGTGGGCGCGGCGCGCCACCCGGCGATCGCGGCATCGGCGCCGGCTCGCGTCGCGTGGGATTGGCCCGGCGGTACTGACCCAGCGCGCCTGGGCCGTGATCAAGGTGCTACTGATCGTGTCGGAGGAGCGCGCCAGGGAGGAGGTCGCCGAGCAGCTCAACGACTGCGCGTATGAAGGTGGGTGTTAGGCGGTCGAGATCTGCCGACGTCGCGGGGTGGACGTCGGCGCGCCAGAACTGCGCGCGCCGATGCGCGGGAGGCATGTCGAGCCCGGGGGGGAGCGAATTGCGCGGGGATCGCCCGCGCGGCCATCTTGACCGTTGTGTGTTGTGCTGCCTTCAGTCACGGCCTTCGCCTCGATTGAGCAGGCCTGCGGGTGCCTGGCGAACACCGCGTACGACACCGTCCTCGCGGAGGTGAGAGTCTCGCGGGTCGCCGCTATCGCGCCTCTGGCCCCCGTCTGTTTCGCGGGCGCCGGCGCCGACGCCGGGCGCGCAAATCGGGTCGCGCCCATTGCCGCCTGGCGTTGGATCGCCGCATTGCGCAGTGCGCCCGAATTGGCTCTGCAGGAACTGATCCTGACGCGACACTTTCAATATTTGCATAGTTTCGGGGTAGCCGATCGGATGCCAATGTCTGTCGGGAGCTCGAGGTGAACGTGATCAGTGCACAGCCCCGGGGAGCCATGGCCTGCTCTGACCCTGGCAGCAGCCCCTTATCGGCTGCCATCTGTTCTGAATCAGGCGAATTTAGGGTCTGCGACATGGCCCTGAGGGCCTGTGCGATTTGCTCGCAGGCGGGGGACCTTCGCAGGCGCAAGGGCGACGCCGAGCAGCTGGTCAGGAGCAAGGGCGGCGTGCCGCTCATACTCATGTCGGAGTCCGAGGCGCCTTGCGACGTGCTGCAGGGGATAAAGCTCGGAGCCGTGGACTTCCTCAAAAGGCCGCTGTCGCCCCTCAAGTTGAGGAACATTTGGCAGCATGCCGTCCGACGGGTACGACGCACTGCTGCGGCCTGCTGATACCATGGGCATTGGTCGCCGATGGCGGGCCACGCCTTGGAAGTTTGGATCTAACAGGTTGAACACAATGCGTATCTTGGAGCGCGGCGTTAGGGCGAGTTGAGGGCTCTGGCGCCTGTTACAGCGGTTTTGCTGAGCAGAAGTTCAGGTTCAGAACGCGACCCTGTCCCCAAGGTTGTCCTTCTAGTAGAAGGTGACGCACGATGGGCTCCCCGCATACTTGCGCGTTTCTTCTTGCCGTGACCTCACACCCCTAGGCCGCGGTTTCCAGAGGCCAATCAAGCACGACTAAGCCATTTCGAGCTGAAAGAAGGCACTGCTTGGTATGGTGTATTGCTGCCCCAATGCCACCTGTGGAGCAGAGATTTTGGCAAACCGCTGTGTTGGAGCTCAGCAAAGTCATTTGTGCTGCCAAGTCACGAACGGCTGGGGCACAAACTGGGCATGTGCTGAAAAGTTCAGTGTGAGAATTTGGGCAACTTTTGTTGTGTTCCATAGCTTCACGTGGATGGCCAGCACAGGACAATGACGCACAACTGTGCTTGCCACTTGCAGATGATGGGTGACACCAGCATGAGTGAGAATCCAGATGGAGAGGTGCGTTGTAGCTGTCAGGATGTGGCCATGGGTGCCAAGCCAACTGTGCGTGTGAAACATGGACGTCAGTTTTGGAAGTGGTTATGGAGGACACTCAGCACCGCAGTGAATTCAAGAGTGATTCGAGTGTTCCATCTTTGTATTTGGACTACTGTGGCAAGGAGAGTATCCATGCCACGTGCCGCACTGGCCGTCACTGTCAGTTGCCCCAAGGCAACAACCCCTTCAGCATGTGCCTTCAGCATGTGGCTGGAAACTGCGAATCTGTGTAACATTCATTAACGGACGTGAAGCGCTGGTGCTTTGTGCAACGATTGACAAAATGGATATTGCTCCGGGGCATGTTGTTCTGCCATAGTTTAGAATTGGAGTTTGGGGCCAAGGGGAAGTATGGCTATGGTGCATTCACAGGGTGGCGCAGGCTCCGCTCCTCCAACTCCGTCCACGGTACCCCCTGCAGCAGATCCCCTTGTCACTAGTGGAAGCGGCAGCTTAGGGAGTGCAACTGCTGGGCCATCAGGGGCCCCTTGTGAAGGCAACACAGCTGCAGAACGGGAGGTCTGTAAAGCAAGAGCTGTCGCGTTTTTGATCTTGAGTGTTTGCACCTTGCAGGCGATGACAGGCATGGAAAGATTAAACAATGGTTGCTCACTGTCCCAGGATCATAAGTTCACACTATTGTGATATTGTGACATTGAACAAACACTGCTTCGAACATGCTGCACGAATCTCCAGGGTAAAGTGGATAGGGGTTGTTTGTCATAGCATTTTGATAATTGCAATCTGTGTAATTTCGTATCTCATACCTGCTATGCTTTTGCCAATCTTGTTGGTAAGTGTGTTGCAACTTGTGAACAGTCTTCGCCTGCAATCTTCAGACTCTGTAGTTGTGGCCTGTGTGTTGAACGTGGAATTGTCTTCGTTTATCAATGTGCGCCTTTTGAAGGCCACAATGAACCTCAGTGGTGGAACTTCCAGGCCAGTTGACACCGTACCACATGCCAAGAGCACAATGTCCCATTTCGAACGTTCCAGTGGATTGTTTAGCACTACAGCGTGTTTTAGCAGATTGTGAGCTCCACAGAATGGCAGTTTTGGCAGCCAATATATTGGCAACAAGCGATAAAGGCAACGATTGGCTTCATTGACTTGCAATTGAATCCACGGTAATTGCCCACAGTTACTGTGGCTGTTTGTTCTTTGGCGTGGTTGGTTTTGCTGAAATTTCACTTGCTTGAACAGATGGCCTCTGACAGGAGGAGGCTGAGGGTCCCCAGGGAAAATGGAAGTGCGGTGGCTAACCGACCACCTCTTGCGATGAAACCTCCTGTGTTCAGTGTGCCGCCCTTGATGGGCATTCCTCCTGGCTGCGTCCCACCTGCTGGTCCAAGTGGGATGGCCATAGGAATGCCGGTTCTGAATCAGCCACCCTTTGCCCCTCCGTGCGCAAGCCCACTGGGCCTGATGCCATCGCCGCTCGCACCACCTTCGCTGCACTGCATGCCAGGTGCCAACCCCACTGTGCATTTTTGGCAATATGATCAAGTCACATGCCAAATGGATGATTCAGCATGTGAAGGCGCTAATCTGCCACTGATAGTTGCTATGAAAATGCGACTTGCAGAATGCAATACTTTTGCGGCTACACGCAGGCAGCTGTGCATGTGTGGTGAACTTGAGTTCCTCTTGAACAGTTGGCCATATGCTGCACATGGATCAAAATTGTTTGCACGGGCATATCCCGCATTCTGCTCCCTGCCAACTATCAGTCACCTGTACTGTTGTTAATGGTGGATTGTGCCAGCAACTGCAGTTGCATAATGTGGTCTGGAGAATGCATATGTTTCACAACATGTTTTGGTTTGTGCTTGCTGTGAGCGCTTCAGGATGTTCATAGACCACCTATCATTGGAACACCACACCAGCAAACACATCAGCACCACAATTCATAACGGGTTGGATTTCGCAGCAATGGCCAAAACTGGGAACACTTGCCCTTGTTGGCAAGGTGGCCATTGCAGGCAGGGAATCCATTCCTGCCAGTGAGGAAGTTGTGAACAACATGCTTCCTTTCAGAGCTTTGTAGGCACCACAGTATGGACTGCCAATGTTGACCAGTGTATTCAGCACCACAGTATGGACTGCCAATGTTGACCAGTGTATTCACAGGAATAGCACCCATCATTGACCAGCACGTTCGTTCTTGCAGGGGCGTTGCCTGGCGCAATGCCAGGGGTGCCAGGCATGATGCCGGGCGCCATGCCTTTCCCTGGCTATCCGATGGTGCCTCCCCCTATCGGGGTGTCCACTCAGGCTCCCTTCACCAGTGTGCCTGGCCCCATGGCTGGAGCCATGGAAGATGTTGCAGTTGGAAGCTGCGCACCTGTGGATGGCTCGGGCAGTGGCCAGGAGGGAGGGGCCAATGAAGGGGAGAATTGTGTTGAGGCGCAGGCAGAGCCGGCGGACGGGGACCCCATGCTGACAGACGAGCCTGAGGTGGCGCCCCTGGGCCTCAGCCTCAAGAAGAGCCCCTCGTTGATCAACATGATAAGCAACAACTTGTGTAGTGCCTGCAGTACGGATAATCCAGTCTGACTTATGGTGGACTTTGGGAGAACGTGCAAGATGGGCAAGTTGCTCAGGCTGAAAAGGGTTGCTGGTGGTGCGCGAGTGATGCTGGCATGCAAAGGGGAAAGGTAGGCAGCACCAATGGAGGCGCCCTTTTTATGGCTTTCCTTGGGGGGACAGTATTGAAAACTGGAACTTCTGATCGATTGGGGATGGTCAGGTATGGAAATGGGAATGAATTGCAACTGCTGATGTGCATGAAGCACACGCCCTGATGTGCATGATGTAGATAGTGTGTACTTGATGCATTGAATGCGTATCATGGTGGAAAATAGCCCATTGCGTCTCGATGCCAACTTCATTAGCATGACAGGAAGGTGACTGTGGTGTAGCCAGCGTGCCTGTGCCAAGGCTCTTGGCAGGTACCTGTCACTTCCCCAGGACTGCCAGTGCACAGATGGGTCACTTGTGTGTGTGTTCTGGTAAGGAAGGTGTTGACCACCAACGATTTCACTTCGTTGCTTTTGGCCAAGGGATGCAACTAAACTTTGATGGTCGTCCAGCGAAATTGGAAGAATGGTTGATCTTGTTTCAGTTGCCACCTTCCCATTATGCTGCTTTGGGTTTTACGTTTTTTGCTGATTCAGTTTTCCCACCAGGAGCGCCCTTGCATTTCTTGAATTGAGGGATTTTGACGCTTGCGGACTCTTATTGTCAAAAACCTGCAAGAAGAGGGGCTGGCCAGAGGCGCACCGTCGTCTGCCGGCCCTTGTGCAGCTGCTTTTTGCTCGCTTATTGGATTGCTGGTTTATTGGATGAGGCACATCCTGGCCAGGGCTCTGGACATGCAGGGGCTCTGGTGTCGTGAGGAAAATCACATGACGTAGATACGCTGATAGGAAGCTTTCCCATTGGGGCAGGGTAGGTGCGAGGCGCAGGGGAAATTTTGCAGGCACGCTGTGCGTGATATCTATTGGAAAGTCAGCAGAGGTCGCCCTGGGGCTTGTGAAGGTTCGGCACCACACATCACCTCAATGAACATGTTGACATTGTTTCAGCGGAGGTGCCACCCAGGACGAACTTGTAACAGTAAACGCCAACTGCAGCTCGCCTGTCTTTTCCTCGGATGAGTTGCCTGCTCAGCAATGCAGTCCTTGTGCTTTCTGTCCTCGCTGTGGCGTAGAACAGGTTGAACGAGCGGGCGCCAATTCAGCAGCGCTTGATGGATGAGCTCTGATGGTGAAAATTCAAGGCGCTGAAGGAGGCTCCGTCCCCTATTGGTGTTGTCAGACTGCATGCAAAATCGACACTGGACACGGCTATTTCATTTCTCCATGTTGTCACCTCCAGTGCGTCCAAACCGCTGAAACCCTTCAAGGCATTGTCCTCGCGTCGAGGAGAGTCTGAATTGACCATTAGGTTGGCGCAATGGCACGGAGTCGGAATCGAAATCGGAAGAGCATTCGAATCCGTACTTCAATTAAATCGTCTCGATCTTTTACATAATGGCGATGCTGCTGCCCGCGAAATACAATTGGTGTGATGATAGTTGACGACTGAAGATACACCTCACGTGGCGACGCTTCTCTGAATCCACGCTCCCGCCATGCCGGAGAACACCAATAATTAGCCCACAATACATCAGCGAAACCACCCACGCTCCATCCGCCGCGGACGCATGGGCGCTGAACACCAATCCGGGGAGCACACGTCCCTAGCACGTGACTGGGGCAGACACGCACATGCCCTGACCGCACACGCCCACATCCTTGGGGTAGTCCCCAGCAACGCCGAGCATGGAGCAGTCCGCCACGGGACCGACGCCGACAGCGATGCCATTCTCGACAATCACAGGGACGGCCTTGCACATCCCCTTGCCGCAGAGGCCGATGCTCTCGGGCCAGTCTCCCATGGAGCCGACGCCCAGGTTGGCCTCCATGGCCATCGCGGTGCCGTCCTCAGCCATCTCGAAGACACAAACCGTGACGCACACTCCATTACCGCAGAACGAGATCATCTCTGGGTAACCGCCTGGGGTACCCAGGGGTACGGTGTTGGCAACGGGTCCCACGCCATTGGGCGCACCGGACGGGCCAAACATGACCGGGACCGTTGTGCAGGTGCCTTCACCGCAAAGCCCGATTTCCGAAGGGAAGCCCTGGGCTTGAGCAGCCTACATATGTATGTACGTCCCGCAGGTCAGTGACAAGGGCCAGGGGAGCACGAGGGATGGATTTATGCACATGCACGGATGCAGATGCCCAACATGTGCCTTCGCATGCCAGGGGACAATTTGCCAACAATCAACATCATTCCAAAGATGGAGTAACAACAAGCTAACTGTGCGAAGTAGCAACAGGAACAGAATTAGAACGCTCAGAGATAAAAAAAGCCGATGAAGCAGCAATGATGTGCTCACCAGGACGGCGGAAAAGAGAACTGCGATCGACAAGATGATCTTCATGTTGCTTAGTTTCCTTGGCCTGTGCAGCGCAATTCAAGAGACTGCCTTAGATTTGTAGGAGCAACGGACGCAAGCTCTGCCCTGTATTTTGTTTATCCCATTTATGCACATCGACTGGACGCGATCAGTGCGTGCGAATGATGGCAAAATATTCCAGGCACAGTGCATGCGAATGATGGCGAATAAGAAAGGCCCTGAGAAATAAATCAATACGGAGATTCCGTGGGGTGTCTAGCGGCGACACATCAACTGCAGAAACAAGGTCTGGTGTTCGTAAGTTGACTCTTGCTTTGAACTCCATGACCACGCTTTCACTAGGAAAAAAAGGGCCAAATAACACGTGTTCAAACGTGTACGAAGTTTACGGGTTTGTGTTATTTTTGTGTTCTTGGCGTGTAAAACTATGATAAAATGTGTTTTATGTGTGTTCCCAAAAGTGTTATTTGGCCCTTTTTTTCCTAGTGTTTACTGCGCCCCAACAAAACCCCTCGGCCAAATTTCAACGGTCGGTCTCGAGCTTGAAATCTCGGAAGAAAGCTGCCGGCAATGTGGCACATTTACCGCGATGCGCTCCATAAATGCCATTCGACAAATATGCATCCCGTTGGAATCTCTGCATGATTTTGTTCGTGGGGAGAATCTCGTGCTGACGTGCACGAAGATTCGTCGACACAGCGCCAACGCTGCTGGGCAGAACCGGCATAGAATTACTCCCCCTTCTTGTTTGCTGAGATTCGGTTCTTGTTTTCGGACACCCTAAACCCCAACTACTGACCCACGCACCGGGACTGGCCTTGTCAGCGGAACAAGAACCGAATCTCAGCGAATAAGCAGAAGGACTAATATATTCTCGGCAGAGAACCGCTGGTCATTCAACCCAACGATGCTCAGCTGAGTGCGAATGCTGAACAACCTCCACCGTCCCACTCCAGTTTCTTTCCTGCATCTGGAAGCGGACGACGAGGCGCGGCGTTCATAATGACGTGCAAGGATTCTCGCAAAACAAATGACGCCGCAGAAGCTGTCGACATCGCCGCCTGTGAAATATGCACGGAAATACCCTGGTGTGCGTTGACCGTCTGATGGTCCCGTTGCGTTCACAGGGTCAGCAACTGGAAGGACTCGCTTGAGGCAGCATGCCTCGGCGCGAAGAATGTAAAGCTCAACGGAGTGTCTCGGCATGCCACGCAAGGACCGCGGTGCACATTGTCCCCAGAGACAACACGCACCCCTTGCCGTGACGCGCACTGGAATCCCGGTGGGTCACGGACGAGCTGGTTCTTCCCAGGTCGTGGGCATGCCCAACGCACAGCACAACCGCCTACGCGCCCCCAGCCTCGCGCTTAGTCTCTCGCAATGACCACCACACGTCACTACGAGTGAGGGCGGCCAGCTGGTCGGAAGCTTGCCATGCATCTGGCCGCTCCGCCTTCCAGCACAGCGCACCGGGCAAAGCCTGCTCCCATCGGCACGCCAGTCCCACGCCGCGCCCCACCGCACTGATTCCCTTGCCCACCCTCCGGTAACGGGACGCGCCACTTGGCGGTTGTCGTGCTGACGCGACCCACGCGTCCCGCACAAAAGATGCCTGTCATGCGTGGATCCCCCAGGGATTTCCTCTCGTCTGGGGTCCAACAAAAACGCAGCGCGGCGCTTGGCTGCACCTTCACAGCAAAGGGGCCGACTCGGGAAGTTCAGGGCTGCATTTCCATGGGTCACGCATCGCTGGTTGGACGTCTGTATCCATGCATCCACGGCGAACGACCGCCGGCGGACCTACGCGCGCACACTACAGTGGAGTGCCCCGAGCGCGGCACCTTACCCCGACGAGCGCTTGCTACCAGTGCCTCGTGCGGCTGCTTGCTGGGGGCGACTGTCCGAATCGATGTGCCGGGGTTCCGCCCACGTGCAAATAAGTACCCAGGAGGGCACACCTCTGGAAAGAACTTCTCCGGCCAGGAGACGAAGTATTCTGGATTCCCGTGACAGGTCCATCTCAGCACGCCAATAGACCGCCAGTGGACGCCAAATGGGTTGGCGGCGTAAGGGCGGAGCGGCAAAGTAGGGCTGGCCAGCCGCTTCACGGTGGGAACTTCATTTCCCTTCACTCAAAATGTGGAATGACGGTGGTTGGGCCACTGACAGCTGGCATGGAGGGGGCACCATCCATCCACGGGAAGTTCCTGGCGCTGTGCTCAGTGCCCAGTACAAGCCGCCCACCATCTGATAAGCATCGCTGCCGCCAGGGTGTGTGATGTTGTCGAGAGTCACACATCTATAAATTGGCGATTCATCAAACTCTCAATTGTGGTCGACGACGTAACCCCCCGACAATGGACAGATAAACACCTTTGGTAGTTTTCCAGTACACAGTACCTTCCGGGGTGTATATTTTGGCTGGTCATTTTGGACTGAAGTACTTTGCTAGCCCGTCCCTTAATTGCATAACGTTCCGCATTTTCTGCGGTGATAATTACTTGTCTCGTTGGGCGTCTGCGGCCCGCTCCTTAACGATAGTTCTAATTCTAGCTTTAGGGGTGAATACGGATGGACAAGTGTGCTG